GTTAAGCACTCAGATCAAAGGAAAACATAACTTTGTTGGATCGACACCAATGACTTTTAAGCAAAACCACTGGGTTTTGTGCTGTTGGGGTTTCAGCAGGGTATTATGGGGGTGCTCCCGGTGCTGAAATCATTTGGGGCTGCACTGTGTCCTGCTGATTCTGCTTCCCATGGGAAAAAGCTGGCTAAAGAAGGGGAACAAACAGGCCCCAAATGCACACGTCAGAAGTGAAGGGGATCCCAAGCCACGGGGCTGGCCAGTGTCACACCAGCCTGTCACCCTGCTCACCCCAAGGAGCTGGAGTGTGATCCATTCAAGGCTGGCACCACTGGGTTTTGACCCCAATGTGCAATCAGCAACCTCACCTGGTGCTTGGGCACATCATCAGGTGTCCACGATATTCATAGAGATATTTTTGATGTGGAGATAGGGTAATAAGGCTGAAGCCTCCCTCTGAGGCTGCCGATTAAACAAACCATCTGTGTTTGTTCAGAGCTCTTTACCACGGGCTCTGCTCACTCTTTGGGCGATCACAGGCAAATAAACGAGTCCATATTCCCCTGGCCAGCTGGAATGCTTTCCTCCTTTGAGCTGTGAGAGGAGTTTGAAGGCTGTAAGTTTTTAGCACACAAGAGATGCTCCCTGTGCCAGCCCCACTGCCCTGCCAGCCTCAGGAGTGGGACAGTGGACACGGGACAGGTTTGGGGTCACCAGGGYTCCTGCTCAGCACAGTTAATACAACACCCAAAATCCAGCTACAAGCTGAGCCYGCTTTTCAGGAGCAACCCTGTTCTCTCTGTGTAAACCCGGCCAGAAACCATCACTGAAAGGGACGAGGTTGTGCCTGAAAGAGGAATTCAGTGGGAGAAATGGAGTCTGTGCCAGACCTGCCCTCCCACCTCCTTGCCTGAGGCTTAAAATGTCACTTTGAGGGGAAAAAGGAAAGGCAGGCAGTATTTCACAAATGCCAATATGCCCATTTGCTCCCAGATCAAGTTTTTTTTCTSCGTTTTCTCTCCTGCCACCACGATGCCTCCAAGTCACAGCAGGTCCAGGGCTACCTGGAACTGGTTTTAGCRGAGGGGAAACAGAGGCTGCATTTCCAGCTCTTTGGAGCTGCCGCCATCATGTGCAGGAGCCCGGCCCAGCCCGGCTCCAGCTGCTCCCCAGCACAAAATCCAGGCTCCCTCCCGCCCTCCAGCAGCGTGTTTATTTACAGCACAGCGTTTCTTTCTAAAGATCTGGTCTCAGGGGGCAAAATCCCTTCTGTGTATGAAACCAGTACTGACTAGCTCAGACATTGTCTTCCAGAGACTGCAGGCAGCCTGAAACAATAGGGGTGTGCAGAGAGTCCTGATGCATTTCCATTTTTGGACCATGATAAATCCGAAACCTAATAGTAACAGCTCTAAAAATGGCCCACGGTAATTAGGTGGTTGGGAATGGGTTTGGGATTCGGCCATCGCACACAATCCTTAATGGCCTCACGTCTTCCTGCATTCCAGAAGATTCATTTAACCCCTCAAAATTGGACAAAGCCCCCAAGTTCCCCTCGGAAACTTTCAGAAACGAGCACAAGCTGGAACGTGGACATGTCGAGCACAATGGAAATGGGAAGCACGCCCCAAAAGTCCTTGGCATCAGATGGAAGAAAGGAACCACAGCCCGATTGTGTTGTTATGTTCCATGCAYAACTCGGTCCAAACCTCTGATTTTTTTTAAAAAATGCAACCCCTGCACGCCAAATACAGCGCAGAGCCCGTTTTTATCTGAAACCGCTGGATTACAGACAACTGCTCACCATTTTTGGGGTTTTGCTGACACCTGGTGTTCTGGGAAAGATGCTGTGTTTTCCTGCCGGGAAAGCACAGCAGGAATCCTCCGCACCCGCATCCCCCCCGCGGGGGTTTTACCGCTCCCCCAGGAATAATTTAGGCTGGAAAAGACCTCTAACATCACCGATTCCAGCGATTAAGCGCTGATATGTTCACTGTTAAAYCSTGTCCCCAGGTGCCACATCCACACATCTTTTTGAACGCTCTGCCCTGTTCATGTTGTCCCCGTTCTGCTGATGGCATTTCCCCTAAAATCCAACCTAAATCTCCCGTGTTGCAGCTTGAGGCAGTTTGCTCTTCTTCTGTTGCTTGCTGTCTATGAGACAAGACAGACAGAGCCCCACCTGGCTCCACCCTCCTTTCAGGGAATTGTAGAGAGGCAAGGTCCTCCCTGAGCCCCTTTTTCTCCAGCCCTAATCCTCTCAGTTCCCTCAGTTGCTCCTCATCAAAGTTCTGTTCCAGATCCTTCCCCAGCCCCACTGCCCTCCTTTGTCCCCATGGAAGGGCAGCCCAGTCCAGGTCCCACTGAACAGACCCAGTGGGGCAAGACACCTCCAAGGCAAAAAAAAGGAGCTTTTTTCCTGCCATTTCCTCTTAATTAACACTCACCGCTCCAGTGGGATGTCATTTAGGACAAGCAGAGGGCTTGATGGAAGCCACAGGTCCCATGGTCCCCATGCAGGGAGTGAAATCATCCCCGGAGCAATGACGGCTTTAGAGCAGGAGAAAACATGGACAAACCCTGAACTGGGAGAGGCGGGGTGGGAACAGGGGGAAAAGGGAGGTGGGAAACTGCTCACTGCACCGGGGCTGCTTCCAGACCAGCTTGGTCACATTTTTGTAGCCCTCGGCTCCTGCTCTCCCACGGACACAGCCGGGTCAGACCTTCCTGGGCTGCCCTGGAGCCACTGAGCCCCCTCCAGCTCCCCCACACCAGYCTGGGCACCAGGACCAYSAAGGGATGCTCAGCCCAGCAATCACACAGAACGAGGAAATGCCCTGGTGCTGTGGGTGAGAGAGGAGCAGGTCAGAGGGATCTGGCTTAAATCCCAGGAAGGAGATCCATGGCAATGCAGAGAGAGCAACCACCATGCCCAGATAGCCCAGGAAACTGAGCCCATCCTGCTTCCGGCCCCTTTCTGGGACCAGCTTTAATATTTTATACTGCTCAGTGTGGAAGGAGGACATCATCCCCTGCTTTTGTTAATGTGATCACCATTACAAGTGTTGGATTTGTCACCCAAGATCTCCTCCAAGTGAAAAGATAAAAAAAGAGAAGCATGAACTGGTACAGGAAAATAACGGAGCCACTTGAGATAAATTATTGCACTGTAGTAGAAAGGAACAGGAACTTGCTGGCTGGCTAGACACTTAAACTTTCTCTTATAATCTCTTTGGTTTCCTTATAATTTTCATTGCTTTTCCCAAGTTTGCTGTCACTGTCTCAACAGCATGGGCATTAACAATTTGCCTGAAGCTCTACACAGAGCCACCAGGGTCTGTAAAGAAAGTGCCCTGGGCACAAGGAATTTCTATTATTGAACTGGACTGCAAMTTCACATCCCATTGCCTGGGCATGTCAAGAGCCCAGCCCTGACTCCTAAACACAAGTCCTTTAAAGATCCTGAAAAAAAAGTGTTGATTGAGGTGCAGACTTAAAAATCTTTGCAGAAGAAAGGCTCCATGGAAGCACAGTTGCACAGAGTCTAGAACATTTCTGAGGAAAAGGAAATAAAATTCAACCAAAACTGATTTAAATCAGCTCATGTTTTAATTGGTTCAGACAATCTTTCTGGTTGTACACAAGTTCCCTCTGTGAAGGGATCAGCTCTACGACTCTTTGTCAAAAAAATTAAGAAGCAAATGACTTGGGAAGCCAAAGTCAAGCTGTACAATTACATATCCCTAAAAAGTGGGGAAAGAGCAGAAAATATTTCGTTAGCTCATGCTGCAATCCCAAGAGAGCTCTGAGAGCCAGGTGTCTCTGAGMTCTGCTTACCTTTCTGGTGATGATCTCAGGATTTATGATTTCAAACAGATGAAGCCTTTTGCTGTTCATCAGTGAAGTCAGAGCTGATCCAATACCTACAGAATCAGCAGACCCATCCAGTTACAGGGATGCCCATCATGTTCTGCCAGTTGCCAAACTCACTTTTCCTTTCTCCCAGCCCTCCCCAGAGGGTTCTCCATTCCCCAAGTGAATCCAGCAGAATTTCCAAACAGTAATGTAGTTCCTCCCCCGCTGCCCCCTCATCCCAGCTGTCAATGCCATTGATGTATTTTTTCAATGCTCAGGTTTAGGAGATCTGATTTTAGACAATTTATGGAGCAGGTTGGCCATTCCCCCAAAGGAAAACTCACTTGAGGTTACTTCTGGAATGCCAGCAACCAAGATCATATTCTGCACGAAGCTTTGTATGGATGGGTCCTTCTGAAAGCCAGAAAATACATACAAAAATGCTTTAAAGACATCATTTAGCTTCAAATGGCTTAGAGAATATTTTTTGTAGGACTTACCCCACTTGGATCAGCTGTGCATTTAAACACTTTAATCTCTATGCTGAAAGGAAGTGGGGAAAAGAGGAAAAAAAAAGTCACTAAGTGCTGCAGAGATCCTCTTTTCATGCTGCTCTTTGGGTCAAAGATCACAGAACCAACCTGGAGTCCACAGGCTGCAAAATGAGTTTCTTTTCTGCATAGGTAGCTTGAATAGTGACCGTGATTTCCTGCAGAGAGAAGAACAGCAGGGCTGAGGCACAGCAGGACTGAGGCACACATTGAGCCAGCGTGGTCACCATCATCATTCCCAGCCTCAGATGTCCAAGGAACAGATGTGAGTGCCAAAAGGAGCTGATTTACCTTCTCCCATGGTTTAGCCACCCTCCCTTCTCCCTGYCACTGCTGTCCCTGCACACCAGGAATGGTCCTGACTTGGGACAGAGCCTGTCCTGGTTTCTTCCCAGCCAGGAGGGGCAAGCACTGACCTTCTCCATGTAGAGAGACACCTGGGGTTCTTCTCCTGCAGGAAGGATGCTGAGCTCCACTGCTACCAGGGACCTGACCACTGTCCCTGCAGGCTGAAGGGAAATCTGGGGCTGGCTGAGACTCCACACCTTGGCCACAGAGTTGTTATAGGAGGTGCCTTGAAAAATCTGGTGGAGTAAAGAGCAACAGATGAGTCAGGCTTTCCCCATATCAAATTCATGCCAATTTGCCACACAGCTGCATTCCTTTTGCAGTCCCCAGCTGCTCCTGTTCACACRAGCCCAACAACTCAGCAAAATTTCAGGGAAACTGCCAGCATGGAAGATGGAGAAATCCTCATGGCAAAGCACAGCTGCTTCTCCATCAGCCCCTGTTTTTCTCCATCAGGCCCACCCCAATCCCCAGGCTGGCAAAGGAAGGACCCAAGTTGTTAAAATGCAACAGAATCCATCTGAAATTTCCTCGTTTGCCATAAAATGCCTGAATAGGACAAAAAGTTACCATTTGCACTGCCTTCTGCTGCACTTCGGTGTCTTCCATCTCAAACAGCTCCTTCAGAGACAAAACAGAGACAGATTGTGGAAAAACAAAAGATAAGAGTATGGTTGGTCCTGATGCAGGCTGGACAGGCCAGAGCACTGAGGTGTGGCCCGTGCCCACCTCAATTGCTGAGCTGACCCAGGGCTCACCCTTTTTCCATTTCAGTGCTCCCCCAGAAAATCACACCCCTCCACAATTCACCAGAAAAATTTTCCATCAGCTGGTATTATCACTCCAAGGAATAGCATTGCCTRGGAGCACACTCTTGAGAAGAAGGCACTAATTTCAGGATCACATGTAGTGACCATAGATTTTTATCTACAGAAAGCAGCTCTGATTTTTATCTACCAAAACACAGTATTTAATGAATTTTTCACGAAAATACGATTTGTGAGGTGAGGAGGAAACCCTCTGAGAATCACCTGCARTTTCTCCCCTCTGAGGTTCAACACCAGCCTCCCATCTAAGAAAGCTGCTGCAGCCAGAGAGCTGATGCTGTGSTCAGAGAACCAGAAGTAGAGCATTCGGTCCTCAGTCAGCAGTGATGGGGTGAAAACGGAGTCACTGAGCACAGTGGAGCTGTTCTGGTACAGGACAAGGCCCTGTGAAGGGAAACAAAGAGTGTTGGCCACAGCAAGCAGCAGGAGGACAGGACAAAAAGCCAACAGCTGCATTTCCATTGCAAGGCAAATGCCTGGCTGGACACAGAACAAGGAGAGGATGGCATCAGCCCAGCCCCACAAACCAGCCTCTCCAAGGCCTCCAGAGCACATCATGGCCTGGAGATATTTGCCCTTTGAGTTACTTTACCTTGTGATGGGATTCGATGTAGCTTGCTTTTATGACAGGATCTGCTGCGAGGGAGATGTCAACGATGATATCCTTATCCCGGACAAAACTGGCTGCAGGAAAAAACACAAAAACCTCACACCAGAAATAGGACCTCAAGCAGAGCTTGTGACAGTCGCTTTTAGGACTTGGTACAGGTGACTGGGATTTACTCTGGGACAAGAGTTGCCACTCCTTTGGATGCTGATCCTGCTACAGCTCACTGACTTTTTCTCCACCAGGAAATTGGGATAATTACCCTCAGTTTCACATTTCTTTCCTTTCCCCTGATATTTGGGACTGGGAAAATCTCCAGAAGGCTGATCCARATGCTGTGATATCTTAGCCCCAATACTGCAGTGCATGCTCCTGTTTTAGCTAACATTGCTGCTGCAGGATCCTGCACAGCTGGTCAGTGCATGCTGAAGGAGAAATTCCTTATAAACTGAAATATGTCTTTGAATCTGTGCAATCACCTTTAAAGATCAACTTGACGAAGGAAATTCCAAACATAACATTASCAAGGTTGATTTTGCTGCTTTCTGAGGGCTTGGGGTCCCATGCACATTTTTGAAGGACTTTTTTTGGTGGATGTGGCTACGGTCTTGATGGGGCTCATGTGTTAAAAGTTGCACATAAAAA